GTCTCCGCTGTTGGTTGTAATATTGGTGAAGTAAATCCACACTTGAGCAGCAACAACAGTACCATATACTCTGCCATTGTTGTGTATGTTTGTTCGCGCTTGCCTTTAAAATCGATACGTATTGCGCATGTCTACATACCTAGCACGTACTATGCACGCGCATGACATCACCGTTTTCAAAGATTCCCGTATTGGGTGTTTACACGGAAACGATAACGGTGCCGTTTTCAAAAACTTGCACTTTGAAACCCGTTTTCAAAAATATGCGTTTTCAGTCCCCAAAACACCGTTGTCGAGTAAACGAACAGTCAAAACGCATAAAAAGTTTCCCGTTTTTGGCTGAAAACGTTGTCGTGCAAACGGCTCCTGTTTAACACGGAAACGATAACGGTGCCGATTTCAAAAACTTGCACTTTGAAAGCTGTTTTCAAAAATATGCGTTTTCAGTCCCCAAAACGCCGTTGTCATGTAAACGAACAGTCAAAACGCATAAAAAGTTTCCCATTTTTGGCTGAAAACGTTGTTGTGTAAACGGCCCCTAAGATGTTAGTATGCTCAAGACAATTTTTGAATGCTGAAAGTCGGAAAGTTTAAAAAAGTTTAATTCTTTAAGTTTGTAGGCTCTACAGAATATAGAAATAGGAATTTGTTACATATAAAGAATTTGTACAAACAAATGGAACAAATTGCATTTTAAAATATATTCAAATAGAAAATGATTTTAAATTGTTTTAATATTTTAACATTACTATTTACTGTATTTTGGTCAAGTAAATGCTCCAGTGGTGAGCATAAAAGACTTCTTAAAAAAAAAAACATTTAAAAATCTGGTAACACTTTAGAATAGGGAACACATATTCACTATTACTTAAAAGGTTTCCTCAGTAATTGGCTGCTTATTAATAGTTAGTAAGGTAGTTGTTCAGTTTAGGTAAGGGGTAGGATTAAGGGATCTAAAATATGGTCATGCAGAATAAGGCATTAATATGTGCTTTATAAGTACTAATAAACAGACAATATGCTAGTAATATGCATGCTAATAAGCAGCTAGATAATAAGGAGAACTGGTTCTTAAAATAAAGTGTTACAAAAATCTTATCAACCACAAACTTTTGAATGGTAGTGTATTTTAACCCATAATGAAGAAAAAAGACTTTATTATCACCCTAACATGTTCGATAAGCATTCAGCAAGCAATCAAGGATACCGACTTACTTTCTGACCACATTATTTTATGTCTCATTTGTGTTTTTAGTACATTTTAGGAGAAACCTATGAGACTTGAGATGGCACGTCAATGAATCATAACTGAGAACTCCATTAAGTCTCCCAAACTATGACAGAGCAATGCATTTGTCCTCTAGGAATACGCTGAATAAATATGTCAGAGGAGAGAAAGCATAGTTTCTTCAAGTCGAGGCTCATTGATTTCTCTGTCTCTGCACTTGTTTCTTGAGCTGGAGCAGTGTTTTAGACAATGACTCTCTAGCGCTGAAGAGTACAGATGTTCGGAGGGTCCACAGGCTTGCTGATTTGGTGGTTAAATGAGGCACAGCTTGCTCTGTGGAGTCACGCACTTCTGCTAGTACAGCTACATAAACCTCAGTCTTATTAACACGACAACACTGTGCTAAGTAGCAGCGCTTTTTACCCTCGCTGTCTGCCAGCTGGACCCAGGATCACTTCTGTCTGATGTGTTATTTTAAAAAGAAACTCTTTGATTCACATTTTCAAAAGAGAGATAATACACCTTTTATTGGCTCTTTTTATTTCTTTCTTTTGCTCGTTCTGGAGCTGTTTTTAATTTACCTGCCATCAGGTCAATTTTTAAAAGCCTTTCAGTGGAAGAATCTATTTAGTAACCAGGTAGAACATGTTAGGTGTGTATAATTGACATAGTTTCATAGTTAATTGAGATCAAACACCTTTTAACCACAATCCCATTGTAATTTCTTCTGGCAAGGTTGTTCATATCTTGAGAGTTGACAGGGAGAAAAAACACTAAACAAGAAAAGATCAAACTCATTATGTAGCAGTGGCAGAACAGACAGACCTTTAACACTGCGTTGTGTGTCTGTTCTATCTAATGTGTTTACAGTCATGCAAAAATCTTTTAATTGCTTTCTGTGTGGAACTATTATGGTTTACTGCCTTCATATTGTGTGTGCACAAAACATTGCTTGCGATATTAGAGTTCATTTTTATTTATTTATCTGCGTTAGTTTATCTTGGGTGTATATCAGATATTTAATCATGCATACAAATTTAAAAGCTATAAATGCTATAAAATTAACAAACACTAAAAGTAATCTTAAATGTAAAAGTTAATTTTTCATACTGTATATTATCATTTTGTGATGTGTAAATTCACTTGTAGCAGTTAAAATGACTGATTTGAATTCTTAGTGTTTTAATTTGAATTATAATATTTAGACAAAATAGTAAGATTTATCAGTTATTGGCCATAACATGAAAATAATCATCGGTATCGGACAGTGTTTCTAGCACACCATCTGGTAACTCTTCCCATTTGGATATTCGCACAGCTTGGGGAACATTTGAATTTAACAGTTGCCTAATGCCCTTGACCTCTTGTATAAACGTCTCTGTGTTTGGTCTTCTCCATAGGTATGACTTCATTGAGATCCGGGATGGGAACTCAGAGAGCGCTGATCTGTTGGGGAAACACTGCAGTAACATCGCACCCCCTGCGATCATCTCCTCAGGCCCCGTTCTGCACATCAAATTCGTCTCTGACTATGCCCACCAGGGGGCAGGGTTTTCGCTGCGCTATGAAATCTATAAGACAGGTAAGCGTGTGCTACCCAGCAGGATGTAGTTTATCAAAAACAACGCAGTGTCAAAGCCTCGCCTGCTGTTTACGCATCTCTCCTGTGTGCTTTGAGCAGGAGTCTTCTGTTCAAGCGCTTGTACTAACAAAGCATTTACAGTGTGGGTAGAGTTCATGTGGGTCCACTGAGCCTGTAAGGAAAGCAGGATTTCTGTGTCTCTCTTAAATTCACACAACGTATCACAAATTCTTCCTTTCACACAGGAAACACGTACCTCACTTCTTCCTTTATCTACGCACCACTCCTTGCAGCATGGGCTTCTATGTGTCAAATCCCACCTGCCTGAGAAGTGTTGATTGGCTTTTGTCAGTCGGAGGGAAGAGTCCCCATTGGTCAGCGTGGTGTCATTGACAGCCCGCCAGTTTTATTACTTGTGGTCTTCGCTTTTGTAAACTGGAGGGAAAGGCTCTGATTGGGACATTCAGAAGCAGGAAGACAGGATTACCATTTATGACAAGTTCCAAATGGCTTTTATGGATTGGAGGGAAGAGCTGCAATTGGTTATTGGATCAAATGCAGTAGGTCACTATAATCTCCTTTGGAGTGGTTTTATAGTTGGAGGTCGTAGGAAGGTTATGCACCATTCAGAATTCAATTCAGAATGCCTTTCAAATTGCAATTGACACTTCACAAAGAGCCCCCCCCTCCTTATTTACTGTTGCTATGTCCGACAAGCCATGCCATTCTCACACTACACATCATGTTTTCACGCATTTGAAAAATACATCGCGGAGCAAAGAGAACACTGATAACACTCCACAGACAAGACAGAGTAGGTTACTTTTGGTATGAAACGAAGTCTTAGCTTTCAAATTTTGTCATTTTTTTAAGAAATTCAAACAATAAATACCATTTTGTTGCTCTTTAATGTGTCGTGACAGATCGCTGTAGCGCCTCAGTTCAAGCGGCACACATGAACCGATCGTCTTTTTATATTTACTAGTTAAAGCATGAAATAAACATGAATTAACATCAGAACGTATTTTATTTAAACCGCAGAAAGACGTCAATGCACACCATTTTTCAAGTTTAAGCCTACCGACGTTAATCTGCTCTCCTGTCTGATTTGTTTGTCGGACAGAATGGCGAATTCGGCATTATGATTGGTCAGATCGCCTGTCAATCAAGCTTTCTGCGAAGGGTCAATTGAGTTCTTTAATTTGAATTGAATTTGAATTGAGGTATCAAACAGGATGTGTAATTGCAATTTGAATGTGAATGCATGAAAGCAAAATCAAAATAATTGAAATTCATAACTAATTTTTAACTGAAAAAAAACTATGTTTATGTAGACAACCTTTACATTGTTCCTTGAGATTCATTTTAAAAGTTTTGAGAGAAAAGCTGTAAAAAGTAATAAAGTAAACCTTGAAGTTTGGATGGATGGGTGGATGAATAGATGGATGATAGATAAATGGGTAGATGGATGGGTAAATAGATGGCTAGATAGATGGATGAGTAGATAGGTTTTGTGTATGCTATGTAATTTTGAAAAGTCTATAGAAAATTGTAGTTTATATATTTCTTTATATTGAATGATTTAAGTTTATTAGACTATAAACTTCTGTTTTGATTATTCCATTTTGATATGTAATAAGCGTTTGCTGCTAGCAGTGAAATCACTTTGGGTTGTTTTGTCGCTACTGTATGTGTGAACGCTCTCTGAGCAGCCAGATTTACTCTAGCTGACCTCTGGTGCCTTCTTACACTGTACGATTTCTCTCTCATTGACAGCCTGGTCGACATGCACCGGCACAAATTCAGATCAAGGTGGCTGCTGGCGGGCAAATAAACAATGTGGAGACATCCCTTGTTCCTTTTTCAACCTTCTGAAAGCATTCTGAGAATGCCTTTTTAATTGACTCCTGATCTACCCTCCCCTGAGGCCGGCTGGGGCAGGGCAGCTGGGGTTACTAACACAACATGTGTGATGGTCTTTCCTCTTAGCTCCCCACAGTAGTGCACTGGGACAGCCATGCAGAGCAGCTGGAGGAAGGCATTGGTCGGAAATGACCAGTTAGCAGTTGCAGTTGGTGGGTTCAGGTTTACAGAGGAGTGGCAGCTTCTTCTGAGGGATCGAAACACAAAAGCAAGTCCTTAATGAGATCCACCAGATGGATGACCAGCTAAACTCACTCAGTGTGGACGCCCGACGCTGAGAGATATCAGTGAACGCTTTATCGCGAACAGAGGCCCCACACCTCCCGCTTTACGGAGGAAGTGATGACACAATCCGTTGAGTGTGATCTGATAGTGTGAGAGCTCCATAGCAACCTGGCTAACGCGGAGCAGAGGTACGAAGGGAGACAGTGATGAACGCTATAACAACGGCAGGTCGCAGGTTTTTTTAATCATAAACAAGCAATAATGATGAGACCCATTGGCGTGTGGAAGCTCTCAGTTGCCATGGCATTAACAAGATCTCATTATACTCAGAGGATGCGTGTGAAAATGTGTGGGAGTGTGTGTGTGGATGTGTGCATGTTCAAATACAAAGACAAAGAGATTTTTTTGGACTGAATTTTGATGAATTTGAAAAAGTAAGTGTGTTTGTTTATGACTCGATGATCTGGTGTTATATGAAGATTCTTTTTATCATAAATGCCTTTATTTGTCAGTAACGCACCTGCTCTGATGCACAGCACTTAAATTTTGATAACCAATTAAAAAAAAATTTACATTTATAAATATACCATTAAAAAATTAAGTAAATTTTATTTTAAAAAGAATGCATTTAATTAATCAAAAGTAACAGTAAAGATATTTATAATGTTACAGAATATTTCTTTTTCAAATAAATGTTGTTCTTTTGAGCTTTTAATTCATCAAAGATTCCTGAAAACAGATTTTATACAAAAAAAAAACACTTTTTAAAATTGTTAATAATAAGCAATGTTTCTTGAGTATCAAACCATCATATTACAATGAAGAATTCTGAAGAGTCATGTGACACTGAAGACTGGAGTAATGATGCTGAAAATTCAGTGTTGTCATCACAGAATAAGTTACATTTTAAAATATTCTTTAATAATATTTTGAAATATGACTGTTTTTACAATATTTTTGATCTAATAAATGCAGTATTTGTGTATGTAACAATAAATACCATTTTGTTGCTCTTTAATGTGTCGTGACAGATCGCTGTAGCGCCTCAGTTCAAGCGGCACACATGAACCGATCGTCTTTTTATATTTACTAGTTAAAGCATGAAATAAACATGAATTAACATCAGAACGTATTTTATTTAAACCGCAGAAAGACGTCAATGCACACCATTTTTCAAGTTTAAGCCTACCGACGTTAATCTGCTCTCCTGTCTGATTTGTTTGTCGGACAGAATGGCGAATTCGGCATTATGATTGGTCAGATCGCCTGTCAATCAAGCTTTCTGCGAAGGGTCAATTGAGTTCTTTAATTTGAATTGAATTTGAATTGAGGTATCAAACAGGATGTGTAATTGCAATTTGAATGTGAATGCATGAAAGCAAAATCAAAATAATTGAAATTCATAACTAATTTTTAACTGAAAAAAAACTATGTTTATGTAGACAACCTTTACATTGTTCCTTGAGATTCATTTTAAAAGTTTTGAGAGAAAAGCTGTAAAAAGTAATAAAGTAAACCTTGAAGTTTGGATGGATGGGTGGATGAATAGATGGATGATAGATAAATGGGTAGATGGATGGGTAAATAGATGGCTAGATAGATGGATGAGTAGATAGGTTTTGTGTATGCTATGTAATTTTGAAAAGTCTATAGAAAATTGTAGTTTATATATTTCTTTATATTGAATGATTTAAGTTTATTAGACTATAAACTTCTGTTTTGATTATTCCATTTTGATATGTAATAAGCGTTTGCTGCTAGCAGTGAAATCACTTTGGGTTGTTTTGTCGCTACTGTATGTGTGAACGCTCTCTGAGCAGCCAGATTTACTCTAGCTGACCTCTGGTGCCTTCTTACACTGTACGATTTCTCTCTCATTGACAGCCTGGTCGACATGCACCGGCACAAATTCAGATCAAGGTGGCTGCTGGCGGGCAAATAAACAATGTGGAGACATCCCTTGTTCCTTTTTCAACCTTCTGAAAGCATTCTGAGAATGCCTTTTTAATTGACTCCTGATCTACCCTCCCCTGAGGCCGGCTGGGGCAGGGCAGCTGGGGTTACTAACACAACATGTGTGATGGTCTTTCCTCTTAGCTCCCCACAGTAGTGCACTGGGACAGCCATGCAGAGCAGCTGGAGGAAGGCATTGGTCGGAAATGACCAGTTAGCAGTTGCAGTTGGTGGGTTCAGGTTTACAGAGGAGTGGCAGCTTCTTCTGAGGGATCGAAACACAAAAGCAAGTCCTTAATGAGATCCACCAGATGGATGACCAGCTAAACTCACTCAGTGTGGACGCCCGACGCTGAGAGATATCAGTGAACGCTTTATCGCGAACAGAGGCCCCACACCTCCCGCTTTACGGAGGAAGTGATGACACAATCCGTTGAGTGTGATCTGATAGTGTGAGAGCTCCATAGCAACCTGGCTAACGCGGAGCAGAGGTACGAAGGGAGACAGTGATGAACGCTATAACAACGGCAGGTCGCAGGTTTTTTTAATCATAAACAAGCAATAATGATGAGACCCATTGGCGTGTGGAAGCTCTCAGTTGCCATGGCATTAACAAGATCTCATTATACTCAGAGGATGCGTGTGAAAATGTGTGGGAGTGTGTGTGTGGATGTGTGCATGTTCAAATACAAAGACAAAGAGATTTTTTTGGACTGAATTTTGATGAATTTGAAAAAGTAAGTGTGTTTGTTTATGACTCGATGATCTGGTGTTATATGAAGATTCTTTTTATCATAAATGCCTTTATTTGTCAGTAACGCACCTGCTCTGATGCACAGCACTTAAATTTTGATAACCAATTAAAAAAAAATTTACATTTATAAATATACCATTAAAAA